TCAGATTTCTTCTTATAAGTAAGATTCTACCTAGGTCCTCTTACCAACAAAAGAAGTTATAAGCTTATGCAAGACTAATGGTGGTATTACAACCACTTTCCTTTAAAGGGAAGTCAATGATAATCCCAAAAGACAGGACTGCGAAAGCCATAATCCTGAATCCCAGAAAAGAAAAAAAATCAAAATCCTTAAAGTCTGAAATCCTGAAAATCATAATCCCAAAAGATCAAAGTCTGGAAAACGTAATTGTAAAAATTCTTTGGAAGATATTTATTTACATTTTCAAAAGGGATTTAGTAGAGAAACTCATTAAAAACATGACAGAATACTTCATCGGACACTCCACACAATAAAACAGGCAATAATAACACACATTTTTGTAAGCATAAACACCCACCATACTAATGACAGCTACATGGAATAACAGCAGGGAGCTGGCAAACCATATTCACACACAAACAGGTCCAAAAGCAAAACATACAAACACATCACTGAGCTTGTGTGTATCCAGCTTTCCTACTGTAGCATCTGAAACACTGTGACAAACAACCCAAGTCTTTTGATGAGATCAGTTAAAAACAGCAAGGGGTCACTGACAGATACAGTCGCCTAAAGAGCTGCGAACTCAAAAAACTGCATCATTCCCAAATGCAGATACACAATAGGACATTTGTTTATTTACCAAGGATATGACAACGTTGTGATAATGCACTTTCATGGAGTCAAATTTGCAAAAACTAACTAAAATCAGAACTCTCTGAAAATCTCTACATAACTTATACCTCCAATGTTAGAGATTGTGAAGATGAAATATGCTGCATAGAAAATTGTAAAAAATAACACTCACAATTTTAAAAAGTGGGAAAAAAAACACTAGAAAAGAAAAAAGTAGAAAACAGAAAAAAAATGCAGGGTATGAAGAAATCTATTACAAGGATAGATCACGGCAGTTGCGCGGAGGTAGCCATGAGAGCTGCCGGCGCTCCCTGCAGTACAGAAAGTACATCATCCCATGCTGACCTTGTGTGAGCATGATGCAGCGACCTCATGTCAGACACTCTCCAGTCCCACGTGAATGATAGCTGTTTTTTTTTTTTCTTTTAGGACAAGGCACTTCTCAGAGAGTATGTTCACATTCCTTTACTACATGGTACTGCTCTTTTTGAAATTTTTCTATGATCTGCTACAAAGGCAGTCCCTGGGTTATGAATGAGGTAGGTTCTGTAGGTTTGTTCTTAAGTTGAATTTATATGTAAGTTGGAACAGGTATGTTTAGCTATTACATGTAATAGCCTCTGTTTTTACGTGTGAGGCATACATCAGTTAGATATTTGTACACTGCCTGCACATGGACATGAGAGTTCCCTGTTAAGTTCTTCTGCCTTCTGTGCCGTGTCTCCCTCTTATTTTGGGTGTGCAGAAATCCATCCCCCCCCCCACTCTCATACAGAGAATAGATTTGGCAGAAACACCACCTCTGCTACGTGTCCTCTACCACGCACATAATTATTTCCTAAGCAGGCAGTAACCTCGCTGGCTTCTTCAGTCAAATGTGGTTCAAATTGCATAAATGCTCCTGGAATGCCATCAGCTGGAAGGAATGCCAGAGCAGGTCTCTTGCAAGGCCAATCTATGCATCTCAGTTTTCTATAAATGCATTGGGCTGAATGGTCAAAACAAACTTTATTGGTAACGCCTTGAAATTCACCTTTATAAGCCTTAATTGCCCCTAATTCCAAATTTGTCATTATGGTTTGGGGATTCAGTTCAAATCCATTTCCTTCTGCAAAGTCACCAAATTTCCAACAAGCATTTTTTTTTTTTTTTAATGTTGCGCTTTCCCAGTCATTGATATGTGAACAAGCAGGTAAGTTCCAGAATTTCTGGATCCAACAGGAGCATGAATTGTACAAAGATAAAAGACAGTGGTGACAGTTCTGAATGTGCCATCCATTCGTTCAGTTGAATCCTGTGCTAGTTCCTCTACATTAGATTCAATGGTCAATATGAGTCTGTCTCCTTCAACAGTGAAATACTTAAGCAAGAATAGTTCACTATCTGATGTGTTTTATAACACTGAAGAAGATTCAAGTGACACTGAGCTTGTTGAGTTCTTTTATTCTCTGATGTGTTTTGAAGGCAAGCATGACATTACATGTGAAAGGGCAGAAGTAGACAATGAATAGTTTGTCAGAGAAGATTTCTTATATTTTTTGCCTTCATTTTCCCTTCTACTATGATCTTTAAAACACTTGCTGTATTTGTATTTAGAGACTGGTTGTGGTTTATAAATTTTCTAAGTATATACTGTCCATTTGAAAGTCTGATTATTGTTTGCAGGTCACAATTAAGCAATTCTCTGCTTTTGAAGCACCAATAATAATTAGCTTTTAAACTTTTATCTTTCACCATTCAGTAGCCTTGTACACTTATAGCCTTTCCGTGAGAGAACAATTTTACAGATCTCTTCCACTGTGTTGTAAGAAATACAGAAAAGGCAATGAAATCCAGCAGCCCCAATATAAGATCTGCATGAGTCAGGGTTCTACAGAGAGGGGAACTGGCTCCCATGATCATGGTGGCCAAGAAGTCCCACAATAGAGCATCTCCAGGCTGTCCTAAGAATGTCCAACCTGCAGCATGGGCTGCAGTGGTGTGTTGATTATTTCAGGACTGTTTTGCTTCTCTGTGGTGTTGGGTATTGTGAAGAAGTTAGCATGGAATTTTTTTTCTTTTCTTTTTTTTTTTTTTTTTTGCTTATCACCTTTTCTTAGTGTTTGTATATTTAATGTGTAGCTCAAGGCAACTGTCATTCCTCTAATTCATAGCAGAGGAGAGAAAAGGTTGGACACTGCTGTGTGTAGACCTTGGGATAGGGCCAGCGAGCCTGGAGTTTTATGTCTGTGGCAGCAGAAAAAAAATCTGTCCCAGTGCTCAGAGTGACCAACTTGCCCTCTTTATCTGTTGTCTTTGGGCCCCCAGCCAAGTGGAAGGCTCCCACTATAATGAGGGGAGATCTTCCCCAACTAATTTATGCAGGCTCACACACTAACCTCCTCTGGAAACACCTTCACAGACACACCCAAAATCATGCTTTACCGGGTTTCTAGGAATTTCTTGATCCAGTCGAGTTAATACCTAAAATTAAGTCCACAAGTCCATCCTTTTCAACCTGCCACCCATATGCATCTCCTTACGCCATATTTAATTTCCGAATAAAGATAATAACGAAGTAATAGTTTTGTCAGACATGATGCAGCCACCCTGTGGTGATGATTTTCCAGGCATCAGGAGACATCAGGGAGTCTCACCTTTGGGATCTCAACACTCAGGATGTTGGGACTGAGTCTTTCAGGATTATGATCCAAACCCCCTTTAAAAGGAGGGCACGGCCAGTCACAAGCACTAGGCCATGATGCTCCCTCCTGGATGCAGAGAGACCCCACTTTAACCATGCTGGGCAAAGGGAGACGGGCTGCTAGTAAAAGGACAGGCCTCTATCTGATCACTGTTACACACCAGGCCTGTTCCTACACTGCCCTGGTCCTAAAAGAACATACGATTTCACTGAGAAAAACAACTAGACAGAAACTCCAAATCATTAAGAAATTCCCTGTGATTTACCCAAGTCAAGTAATCACACTTTTAGCTTTTGAGATGATTTACAGAGTCTGCATTCTCCCCTCTAAAACAACTTTACTCAAATAAAAGTAAGGCTTCTGATAGTAAGCCTAAAACAACAGATAGCTTTGGATATATTTCACAAAAGAAAATAAAACATCAGTAGTTCTGAGGTTCTTGTTTTTATATATTTTATCTTGTTCTATTGTTCTGTATTTTAAATTTAAACAGTATTTTAAATTCATTAAGAATGAAATGGCTGGGGGCGGTGCCTGTGGCTCAGTGAGTAGGGTGAGGGCCCCATACACCGAGGGTGGTGTGTTCAAACTCGGCCCCAGCCAAACAGCAACCAAAAAAATAGCTGGGCGTTGTGGTGGGCGCCTGTAGTCCCAGCTACTCAGGAGGTTGAGGCAAGAGAATCGCCTAAGCCCAGGAGTTGGAGGTTGTTGTGAGCTGTGACGCCACAGCACTCTACCGAGGGTGATAAAGTGAGACTCTGTCTCAAAAAAAAAAAAAAAAAAAAAAGAATGGAATGGTTAGAAGCAGCTAATATTAAAAATCATTTTTATGTGGACTATTCTGACAGTACCTGCGTTTCTTTCCTTCATTGTTTTGCTTAGCATGTGTGATTATTTGACCCATGAGTTTGCCCCCCAAATTTATGCCTCATGAGGGTGTTGCCTGTAAACACGAAGAGAGGACTCACTGATTTAAAACAGTCAGTATAACCATTTAGCCCTTTTGAGTCTAGATGCGAAATACGAGGGCTGTCTGGAAAGTGTCCATCCATGTATTGAAAACCAGCAGTAATGATGGCTGGGCCCTTTCAGACAGTCCTTGCAAGTCAGAGTCAAGAACATATTTTAAAATGCCAGTTTAGAGATCTCCAGGAAGTAAAATCTTTAATTATTAACCATTAGTGATATTAAAATATTCATATGCCTTTTAGTTCTACTTAATTGAATTTGGCGGCAAGGACCGTAATGGAGGCAGTACTTACTTGGCATACAATGGTATCATCAGTCCATCTGAAGGCTACAGACAAAGCCCTCTTCTGGATTTGTTTGAAAATCATTTGTGTTAACGGAAAGTTTTTATCTTTAGCCACCACAAGTGAAACAAAATCTGTCTCAAATATGCATGTAATTAAAAAATCACATAAGTTACTCCCATAATAAAAAACCCGAGCAAATCTTAGTTTCATCTTCAGCACTGCGTGGTCAGAGGTGGGAAGTATCGTGTGACCACACCAATTTGCCCCTTTGTGGGTATGTTATTTTCACTTTGTAGTTCAAGGCAAAAGAGTGGGAAATGATTCAAGATGAACAAGTAAATGTTATGTTCTATAATGTGGAAGAGAATTATATTTATGATTTTACCTGATCTGTCCACGAACCAGAGGTCTGTTCTTTGTCCTATTCATGTTTGAATCAAATGGCACCTCAAAAAACTGTAAAAAGAATGAAAAATACCAGAAAACACTGAATATAATATGAAACAATTCTCTTTTGCTATATAGCATTTAAAGATTTGTCCACAGCAAACTCTGTTTCAACATTGGTATGAATGAACACCCTAGCAGTTTTTGAAGAAAAATTCTCTAAAGTAGTGGTTCTCAACCTTCCTAATGCCGTGGCCCTTTAATACAGTTCCTGTGGGTTGTGACAGGTTCTTTAGAGAACTTCTGCTCTAAAGGATATATTTGAAAAACCTTATGGAGTAGGAAACCTCAAAACTACTGTGGCCCTCCAGATCCCCAAGTGTGGCTCCCTGACCAAATCTAAATTCTATAGGATTTAAATTCACTCAAAAGGTGGATCCAGAAGGCTACATGTGGCCCTCAGACTGCAAGTTCCCTACCACTCACTCAAATAATGAAGTATAGTTTTAGATGTTACCTGTTAAAAGTCAAGGTCCAGAGGATTATCACAACTCATTTCAAATCCTTGACAAAAAGTTGAGATTTTTGAATTTGTTATTAATGCCTCTATCTAGTATTATCTACTAATAAGTAAATGTTAAAATGAACAAAAATTTTACCCTGAACCATTTGAGAAATTTACAATTTACATTTATGGGTTAAGACATGTGGAAAGCTGTATTCCTCTTAATTTTCTACAAAAAAAATAAAAGCCATACAAACAAACAAAAACACATTTCCCATCCCTTCCCCATGCTACAAGACTGTCTTTACTTGTCTTACTGCTCCTTAACACAATGACATCTTCCAATAGGATTTTTTTTGTTTCTCGTGTTCCTTGCATGTGACTGTATCCACTTCACTCACAACACTCTAGGTCAGTGGTTCTCAACCTTCCTCATGCCGCGACCCTGACACTCATACTGAGTATCTAATAGCCCTGGTCCTCCACATTCGGCTCTTAATGACCGTCCAGTTACAGCTCATTTAGCCAACAGTTATCTGTGATTCTCAGACCTTTAAAATAAAACCACAAACCAATGATGATAACCACTGCTATTCCCCTCACATTAAGAGAGCATACATTATATAAAATAGGCATTCTTCTCCTAATAGCTAACCTACGATACACTTTACGTGCATTGTAAAAGTGCTACATGCCCAGCCTGAGTTTTCAGAGCTACCTAAATGCTGCTGCAGGCCAACAATTTGGCTCTATTCAGAGTAAGAAAGCCAACGTCAGGACGTACGCACTGCCTCACTTGTTCTACCTGAGGCCAGGGCTGAGCAAGAAGACCCCAGATTAGGAGATGGCAGTGCTCCTGGCTTTTCTGAATTGGCGTCTGTCGCAAGCAACTGTGGCAGCTGTTGTTTTTGTCGAATGCAGAGTATTCCGTTTGATAGATATTCCACAAAAGCAATCTCATGCTGATAAACATACTGGTTGTTTTCATTACTCCATATTATAAATATCCCTAAACATGAATCTGCACATTTATGCAACTGTTCCTATAGGATAAAGCCCCAGAATATTTCCCTCCTTTGGAAATGCAGTCCTCCCTCCACATGGATACAGAGCCTAACAGTGTTCTCCCAACACTCCTGCTTGCCCCCACTCTTCACTCAATACCATTTCCTTAGCCCCTTCTCCACACCACACAACAGGAAACGAAAGTCCATTGGGTTTAGCACCTGCTGTCCAGAAACCACACTCCAGGTGGAGCCTGAAAACTACAGTTCATGGGCCACCTCCAGCTGGTACCTGTTTTTGTAAGGCCCACAAGCCATTAATGTTTTTTACTTTTCTTTTTAATGTTTGTAAAAATAAGTTAAAAGAAGAATATTTGTGGCATGTGAAAATTATATGAAAGTCAAATTTCAGCATCCAAAAACACTTTCATTGGAATTCAGCTACACTTACTTGTCTAAGTATTCTTATGGCTACTCATAGGTAACAGCAGAGCTGGGTAGCTGCAACAGAGACATCACTGCCCACAAAGTCTAACATACTTACAGAAAAAAGTCTGCAAATCCCTGAAAGACTAGAAAGACTGAGGTACAAGAAGGGTACAGCACAATGACAGAGAGGGTGCAGAGGACCACAGGAGCCCAGAGAGTGGGCTCTGAATCCAACTGGAGAGCAAGGGAAGGGCAGGAAAAATTTCTTTCCAATACCTGTAAACTGAGGCTTACAGATACAGCAGGGTTAGATGGTCAAGGGGAGAAGGTAAGAGGAAAAGCACCCAGACACAAGAGAAGGCACAAACAAAGAGGGCACAGGAGGCAGAAATCCCATGATGTGTGTGAGTTACTAGGATTCAGCAGAGAACAAGTGAAGAGCTGAGGCTTAGGAGCTACAGAGACCACGGTTAAGTTTCAGCTGTCCCACTCCCTACTGGCTGTGCAAATTGTATGAGCCTAGTGTCCTCATCTGTAAAACAAAAACAAGAGCACAAGACTTCCAAGGATGATATAAGCATTAAGATAAAGTATACAGAGAGTGATGCTTGGCATGTGAGGGTGTGATGGTGATTCATTTACCTGCTCTTACTATCAGTGATGTTGGATGGCTGGCGGTGATGCTCTGCAGGTCGGCAAGGAACCAGGACACAAAGATGCCCCCGTGCCATGCTGACGAGCCAAGCCTCTGCCAGGCAGGAGACGTGCTTTGAATTGAACACCACTTGGAGGATAGTTTTGACAGAAAAGACTCCTGTGGCCCTAGGTGAGAGATGTTGAGGGCCTGAGTAAGGGCTGTGACAGTGAGATGAAGAGAGACTAACATCTTCCTTTGCCCCTAACAAGACTTGCCCAAAGTAACTATATTTACTTATCCATCTTTTTCTTTCTCTCTCTCTCTCTTTTTTTTTGAGACAGAGTCTCAATCTGTCGCCCTGGGGAGAGTGCCATGGCATCACAGCTCACAGCAACCTCAAACTGTTGGGCTTAAGAGATTCTCTTGCCTCAGCCTCCCAAGTAGCTGGGACTATAGGCACCTGCCACAACTCCCAGCTATTTTTTGGTTGTAGCTGTCATTGTTGTTTGGCAGGCCAGCTCTGGTGTATGTGGCTGGTACCCTTGTCGCTAAGCTACAGGCGCTGAGCCTCTACTCATCTATCTTTAAACAAAACCACTCTGTGTACATCCCTGACTTCCTCCTGGGCTCCAATTTTGTCATAACATTTAATTAGTATTTTTTCTATTTGGAAGTTTCGACATAATCATGAACTCAGTGTGTCTCAAACTGAATAACACAGTTCCCTAAAAATTGGGTTCTTTATTTTGTGTTAAACATGCAACTTTTCTATAACCCATGTTAAAATCTTTAGAGTCAGCTGTGATTTCTTCCATTTGCTGGCCAACTTTATGTAATTCATCACCAAGTCCTAATAACACGGACTTTGTAATACAGGTGTCCCAAAAGTTGCTATCTATAGGGAAAATGGGAAATTATGGCTAAATGTACCTTTATGTACAAAATTTCATTACAAAAATTTAGGTGGCTAACACATGAGAATATTTTGTGAATATTTTATATAATTATATAATGAATATTTTGTCCACAAAGGCACATTTAGCTACAACGTCCCATTTTCCTACATAAGGCGACATTTGGGCCACCCTGCAGGTCTTGAATCGACCCTGGTTTACTCTACTGTTATCACTTCTATGGAATCACAACCAAACTACTTCAAACAACTCGCTCAATTTTGTTTTCTTTTTTCTAAATAGATATAGGGCTTACTGTTGCTCAGGCTGGAGTGTAGTGGCATGACGGTAGTTCATAGCCTCCAACTCCTGGGCTCAAGTGATCCTCCTACCTTAGCCTCCCAAATAGCTAGGACTTCAGGTATATGCTACCATGCCTTTCTCTTTTTTTATGTTTTGGTAGATATAGGCTCTCTTGCTTCATTGCCCAGGTTGGTCTTGAACTCCTGGCCTCAAGCAGTGCTCCCACTTATTCCCTCAAAGTGCTGGGATTAAAAATATTTGACTCCTCATTGCTTACTGTTTTCCAATGGACTCTGAAAGCCCAAACTCTTTAAAAGTTATATTGTTAGAAGTCCAGCCTTAATCAAGCCCCACCACTGTCTCTAACCTTCTCACTTATTTTCCTTCTAGCCCCTCGTCACACCTGTAACTGTCATCTGGACACAGCAAACAACTTGTGGGAGCTGATGGCTCTGCCAACTCTGAGGCCAGGGAAACTATGTAGTGCCTGGAGCCTTAGTTCCCTCAGCTGCAAATGACAATAATTCCTTTAACTATCGTTGCTACAAGGATTTAAAAAGACAATGTAAAACATTGTTCATGTCTTCTGCCCAGTTTTAAGGGGGTTGTTTTGACATAAACAGAAATTCTTCAAAAGAAGATAGACAAAGGGTCAACAAACATATGAAAAAATGCTCAACATCACTAATCATCAGAGAAATGCAAATCAAAACCACAGTGAGATATCACCTTACCTCTGTCAGAATGGCCATTATTAAAAAGTAAGAATATAATAACAGATGGTGGTATAGGTGCAGAGTTAAGGGGACACTTATACACTGCTAGTGGGACAGCAAATTAGTACAAATTAGTACATTCGTCAAAGCAATGGACTTACCACTGGATCCAGTAATCCCACTATAGGATATCTACCCAAAGGAAAAGAAGTCATTCTATCAAAAAGACACCTGCACTCAAAGTTTATTGCAGCACAATCACAATTGAAAAGGTGTAGACTAAACCTAAGTGCCATCAATCCATAAGTGAGTGGGTAAAGAAAATGTGGTATACCGTGGAATACTACTCAGCCACAAAAAGGAATGAAATAATATGTTTTGCAGCCACTTGGTTGGAAATGGAAACCATTACACAGGTTTGGCTATAAAGTTCATGTGCAATTTAAAATAGACAACTATTTAAAACTGCACATGAATTTTATGGCCACTCTGGATAAGCAAAGTATTTCAAAAATGAAAAACAGACACCACATGTACTCAATAATTGTGGGCTAAATCATGGGCACACATGGGCAGAAAGAG